AAAGAGAACATTAAAAAATAAGGCTAAAATATATGATATTTTATCACCCACTGACATAGAGCTGACCAACAGGTTTGGACTGCATGCCTGAAGTTCAACGCTTCATCAGCATTAACTGCGTAATGTTATATATAGTCATGAATCAGTCACAGCGATTTTCCTTGGCTACATTTTAGCTGAAAATACTGTTGGTTTTACTGCAGTAGAATGAATGTTACTACCTTCAGGACTTGTGCTTCTAATGGACTATTAATCCACTCTTGCTAAATTCAATATGGTTGACATATTATCTTAATTTCAAGCTGATTTCCTCTGTTTACTGTAACTGTTTTCCAGTCTGACCCCAAGTTCAAACCCCCAAATATAAATTTTACTGTCACAGAGACACTTTTTGCTGACAAATTAGTTATTAACCCTCAGAGTTTTACCAGTCGATCTATGTCCCTGCCCTAACCTATGATCGTGAGCTTTGGGTAGGGTCTGAACGAATGAGATATAAGCGGTGGAAATGAGCTTTCTCCAAAAGATGGCTGGCCTCTCCCTTAGCAATAAGGTGAGGAGTTCAGTCATTTGAGAGGGGCTCGAATGATTAAGAAGACCAGCTACTCCTCCACATTGAAAGGAGCCAGTTGAGGGGGTTTAGGCATCAGACTAGTCTGCCTCCTGGGTGAACTGTTCTGGAGAGATTATATCTCTTTCAGCTGGCTGAGAATGCATCAGTGCTCCTCCAGATATGCTGGAGGAGGTGACTGAGGAGAGGAAGGTTTAGGCTTTTTTGCAACCTAGTCCCAAAAATGGAAGTCTGAGTGGGTGTTTTTAAAGAATAGGTTACCAATATTGGAAAGACAAATATTTTTTGCCAGACTTTTTCTTTGCTGTTTTAAAATGCTCACATTTTCCAGTTGTGACAAATGTTCTTTTGTTTATCCATAAAACAAAACATTTTCCCCCAAATACATGTTCACAGGCTCCTGCAGTTTCCACTTGATTTGACTTGCCAGGAGGAATATTTTTAAGGCAGCCCTTAATTCTAGACCTGGGTGATACAGTGGTGTGAAAAGGTGTTTACCCCATTCCTGATTTGCATATTTGTCACATTTACATCAGGTAATGTTCAAATGTTGGTTCATGGTTTTCTTCCATTTTTGATCTACTGCAGAATATTTTTAAGGCAGTTATCTGCTATAAAAAGCCAGGACAGGAAAATCTCCTCAGTTACTTTGACACAAATGCATCTGCTGTGATGCTTAAACCTCTGATGAAGTCTCACAAGTGTCAGCTTTGTTTTTATAACCAACATAGGTATAAAAATATGGATATATACTGATAAATGATCATTATTATAATATTTCTGGCTGTATGAGTCAAAATTTAATCGAATCAATCTCAATCGAATCAATCTCAATCGAATCGATTATAGAAATCAGTGACAATATCCAGCCCTAAACATCCTGCCAACAGTGGTGGTGGTAGTGTGATGGTCTGGGGCTGTTAAGCTGCCTATGGACCTGGACGACATGCTGTGATAAACTGAACCATGAATTCTGGTATCTACTAAAACATCCCGAAGAAGAACGTCTGGCCACCTGTTCATGACCTCAAACTGAAGCTTGATGAAGACTCTGGAGTGGCCTAGTCAAAGTCCTGACCCGAATCCTATCTGGTTGTTCAGTCTGACGTCACTAGCCGTGTCTGGGTCTAAACTCCGCTGCAGGTCCATATATCAAACGATCACTATGGCATTACTGAGAGTTGAAAAACTGTCTAAAGTCTTTCATCTTTAATAAAATGATCAGCGTTCTGCTCTACCAGGTGTAAGAATTGAGTTTAACATCCAGGCATCCATGAAAACGGAATTTATGACATTTAACGGAGTTAGAAGTTAGCAGGGAGTTAGCTCGCTAGCTTCTATCTAAATATAATATAGCATGTCCTGACTGCGGGGTTTTGGAAACAAATTAAAACGTACAGCTCTGTTATCACTTCCAACATAAATGAAGACAGAAAACTAAACAGCAGTGACGTTTGTAGGCTTACTGAAGTTTGGCTAGCTGGTATATAATGATGTGCTACGTGACCGCTAGCGACACAGCTATGTTAGCATAATATAAACAAGCTAACTTTTTTTCCACTCGATAAAAGTTTACGTGAGTGTTCTCGGTGGTCAGGAACAAATGTAATCGCATGGCAGGATGCTGTAAAAGGACCAAACTTCAGCCAGGAGAACAACTGAGATAATCCTTCCACAATACGAGGTTAGTCATTCATATACTGCTGCATGGGCTGGGCTGTAGTTACATCCTAAGGTTTTAAAAACTGAGCTTAAATAAATGATTAGTGGTAATAAAAGCCGAGGGAGGTCAACAGTGATCACTGACTGTTTTAGGAGCTTTTTGAGATTAAATAGAAGAAAATACATAACATTAAACATGTTAACAACACAAAAGCCATATTAAACGCAGACTACTTTAGGCCCGGAAGTAGGATTCGTCATGTCATCACTTAACAATCGGATTGAAATGCCGTGGCATGACCTTTAAAAAGCGCATAATGCTCGAAAACCCTCTAATGTGGCTGAATTACAACAATTCTGCAGAGATGAGTGAGCCAAAATTCCTCCAGAGCGCTGTAAAAGACTCATAGCCAGTTATTCCAAACGCTTGATTGTAGTTGTTGCTGCTAAGGGTGGCCACACAAGTTATTAGGTTTAGGGGGCAATCACTTTTTTACACAGGGCCATATAGGTTTGGATTTTTTTCCCCTTAACAGTAAACACCTTCATTTAGAAACTGCATTTTCTTTGTATTTGTGTTATCTTTGTCTAATATTTAAATTTTGATAATGATCTGAAACATTTAAGTGTGAGAAACATGCAAAAAATAGGAAATCACTTTTTCACACCACTGTATGAAGTGATGTCTCGCATATCGTTTCCTCTCCCAGTAAAAGGAAGTAAAAACTAAAGAGTTTAAGAGACATCACACTCCTCTTTTGAAGCATCTCACTCTGTCTGCTGAAGGCTATGGTTATCTCTTACCTCTCATTTGGCAGACAGCTAGTGTCGCTCCCTCAGCTTGCTTATTAAGTGCAGTGTGGTACAGCATTATCTTGATAAATGTTCCTCTTATGGCACGGGATAGGCTGATGAATCAGACAGCGTTGGGCTGTATATGGCCAGTTCTTCTCACTGTCACAGTGTGATAGCAGACTGTGAGGTGGTAATGATCCACTGACAAGCTGAGGGGGAGGTCTGACAGGTTATTCCAGGCGCTATCAATCCACTGAAATGTAGCAGCGATGCAGAATATGAATAACTTGGGAATGTGCACACGAGGTTTACCCTCAGATATTAAACGGTAAGTGGTTCACCTATTGAACAACTGCTGGGGGATCCCAGGGAGACATTATTGCTTCATTTTATTTAACACATCTTATTTTTGGGAGTTTAATTCCACCTTCCCTGTGTGAAATTTTCTAAGTCAAATATCATTTGGGAATATAAAAAAGGAAGTTACTCCTTAACGAGCCAAAAGTTTTGCAGCTGAACTTCAGTGTCACAAGAAGTTCAATTTAACCCAACTCTGAAATGTCACCTGAAGAGATCTTTAAAGGGTAAAACAAATAGAATAAAAACCACAAGGATGTCATCACGATCATCTCAAATCTGACCTGAGATGACACGATCTGGATAGAGGATTGGAGTTTGTTGGATGAGGACGCTAAAGATTTCTGACTGTATCTCCTTGTGAGGTTACACAATATTTCACAAGAAAGATGACAAACTTAAAGAAACTTTATTACAGGGTCTTGCAGCACAGCTGAGACTGTCTACCTAGGTCTCAGCTTTGCAGCAGAAAGTTGGTACCATTAAGAGTTACGCAAAACATGCTAAGCTTTTTGTTCTTAACAGACACATTAACCACAAAGCCTCCTACTGCTCAGGACTCATCAGGCTCATTCTGGGAAGCTTGCTTATGACCTCCTTCCCCAGGCCTTGCTCCATTCAAGGTGAGGCTTCTGATTACTTTCCTTTTTTCCTACTTTGGGACAGGACTAACAGAACATCTCGGATCCAAGGAGCAAAAATAAGCTTGCTCCAAATGTTGTCTTCTGGGGTCATGTTTAGAGATAACGGGTGGGCTTGGAGTAGAGCCGCTGCACTAAATATAGTCTGCTGTGGAGGTTTGGGTAACCGACTAGGATGACTCCTCAGAGACGAGGTGTGTTGAGGGTGTCCGATTGGTCGGCAGAGTCTAGGACACACTGGGGAGATTATGTCTCTCAGCTCTGCATTTCTGTGAAAGAGCTGGAGTCAATTGCTGGAAGAAGGGGGGTCTGGGTGTTTTTGCTTAGACTGCTGCCCATGCAAACTGGAACTATAGAAGAGGCAGAAAATGCATCCAACCACAGCTTCCTCCCACAGCCTAATAGCATGCATGTTAGGTTAACTGGTGACTCCAAATTGGCCATAGGTGTTTGAATGGTTGTCTCTCTGTGTTAGCGCTGTCCTGAGTGTAACTGCTGCTGACTCTTTGACAGCAGGGATTGGCTCAATCTCCACCACAACCCTAGATGTCTTTCAGGTTTTCATCACACTGTTTTTGGAGCATTTAACCAGCACAAAAATGGATATGATACAACAGATAAATACAGGGAATATATTAATAATATCCAGTATATTTGTGTCTGATCCCCATCACCTTTAAATCAGCCAATGAGTGACATTGCTAATGCCATGAGGATCCAGTTTACATAACCTACCTCAAAATTAAAGGTGACATTTTTATCATACAGGATGAGTATTTCTTATTTCTTTCCAGCATCCAGCAGATAGCTGGATCACTGTGCACCACTGCTCTGATGGACTTGGAGCCTTCCAAAACACCAGCTGTGCAATCCTCCTATCAAACCTTCAGCTCTTGCCTTTATCTTCTTTGCGAGGCACATTTTTTAATCATAAACCTGACCTCACAAATCCGTTTGTAGTGTTGTAACGCGGGGCGTGCTCTCCACATACACCGCTAATCCCTGGATCCTCTGAGTAGGACCATGATTTCTGGGACGGTGTTGCCAGGGGAAAGGTGGTGCCCAGGACCTGTTGGAAATGACAGCTGAGGAAAGCGGATTGAAGCGAAGGCATCACAATAACATTAAAGATAGAAGATAGCGAAGAGAGTCCCTCGCGTCAGCGTGTAACGGGTGTGTGTCCGTTTGGGATATTTGGCAGCTTTAGCCTGACAGCTAATCATTTCACTGTGAACCGCGACTCGTAAGCTAACGACACCTACTCTCGCTGAGTGTGTGTGCATGTGGGTGCATGCATCTGTATGGGTTATGTGTGTGTGTATACATTTCAGTGTGGATGTGTGTGTGTGTGTGTGTGTATGACGCTGCGCTTGGATTCACTGTCCCCATCTGTCACGTTAGCTAGCATGCTAATTTGATGAGCTAATATTGGCTAATAAAAGAAATTAGCCGACTCTGGGCGAGGCACCGCACCGACATTATCACTGCGAGTCAGACCCTGAGCTAATGCGATAGTACACACTGATTGCAATCTCTTCTAAGCAGAACAGCGTTATTTTCTGACTTTAACGAATCGCTTAAGAAGCCTGCGTTGACTTTTAGACAGCAGTGTAGCTAATTTTCTCGGCTATTAGCTTTGCAGCTAGAAGTGGGGGGAGCTGGCTCGCTAATTGACCCAGTTTGGTGGGGCAAGGGCCAAGATATCATTCCGCTCGACTGAGCTTTGTTTACATTACAACTTTTAGGCTTCTTACTTTCAGAGCACGTTATTTAATGCAATTATTCAAGCCTATTAAAGGACAGCAGTATTTTTAACAGCACATCATTGACGTAATGCATTCCCAAATACGCTAAACCCTTTAAAAACTCCTGTCCCGCAATTAGTCCGGCCACCTGAGGCACCATGTAGTACATTTAACTTCACAGACTCATTCCTTTGCTCATGGTCGTGTTTACAACCAAATTACAAGTCTGTAATGTCATTAAAAAAGTAATAGCTCAGGTTTTATTAAACGGTATGTATGTTTTTGAGTTTTACTTGCTGTAGATACATTGACTCTCCTTTAAGGAAGTGAACACTTGTACTCTGGGGGTGTTTCTACAGTGTCTCCAAGAGGTCAGGGTTATCATATTTAACCAAAACTAACGTGAAAAACACGTTTTAGTTAAAGAAAATAAAAACAAAAACTAGACTTTTGTTAAAACTAACTGAAATGATTTTGGGAACCTACGAAAGATACGAAAAAAATATGTAGAGGTGATATCGTTAGTTTTAGTACTTTTAGTAAATGTGTTATTGTAACTTTCTTCATGAGGCTTTGGTTGGTCATGTTTATTGCGACTTTGGATGGCTACAAGACTGCGAGTCTACTGCTTTCAAAAGGTTGTGTGTTCATAATGTAACACCTGCTCTGATTTTCCTAAATCTTGTCTCTAGCAAAAATTCTTGCAACAGTGTAAATGGCTGAAAATGCTAAAAAATAATAGCTATGTAAATAGCTAAATGTAATGGTCACTGAAACCTTGAATGCTAAGTTTACCAACTTGCCGAAAGAGCTTATTGTTAATTGTATTAAAGTAATTTCATGACATTTAAAGTGAATGAAGCTGGATTGAAACATGATAGGTGTTGGTAAAAATAATTATTGGTGTTCATATGATTAAAAAAAGGCTGGAATTTCCACTTTTAGCAGTTTTGGTCAAAACATCAGTGTCACCTTTTCAGCTGTTATGATGCATTGGCGGTTGTTCCTTAATGTCATATGTTTCTCTGTGAAAGTGCCTCTCAGAGTCTCATGATTCACACAAGGCTGGTGAAAACAAGGCGGATATTATATGGGTGAAAACATGACTGCAACACTAAAACTGTCTGAGCACAGGCTCTGGTGTCAGGCACATCCTGTAAACAGATAGCCCTGTGGTTTGTTCTAGTGTGCTAAATGGTAAAGTTTAAAACAAATAGTTATTACTGGCACTGTGAGTGTATAATTCGTCCCTCAGGGGAGCTGTTTCCACTGCTTTAGTCATCACAGAAGGGCTATTGTGGTTTTCCAACATTTGAGCACAGAGGTTAAAAATAATGACAACAGTTTCACTTTCTCTGTCCTCATTTAACAGGGTTGTAGAGATGGAGTCCCTGATGAGCGCGGTGACTCCACGCTCCCCAGCACCCGCCAAGAAACTTTCTGAGGTGGACTTCCGCTCAGGGGCAACCCTGGAGCAGCTGTCGGCACAGGTATCTGAACTGGTACTGCTGGAGCAGGGGGAGTTTGGAGACCAGACCGCCTTAGAGGTCCACACTGCCAAGGACTTCATTTTCAACATGCTAGGTAGAGAGGTTCATTTCTAATACACACTTCCTTTCCGATTCCCTTCCTGTCGTGACTGTTACAGGAAGCTTGCAGAGATAGGACACAAATGCACATATCTAATTAGCCAATAGCACGGCAGCAAGTCAATGCATTTTGACTTAAGACACTATCAAGATGACCTGCTTGAGTTTGGCCTCCTTTAGCATTAATCTAGTGCACAGCTGGTACAATCTCACCCTACCTGAGTATTGTTCCTGACCATGTCCATCTGCACCCATGTTCTAATGGCTCCTTCCAGTAGGAAAACATAACATGTCACAAAGCTCTAATCAGTTCAAACTGGTTTCTTAAAGACCATTTATGTGCAGCACATATTTCTAACAGCATAACTTTTTGGATGGTAATCATTCATTTCCTGTAGCTGCAATCAATTGGGACTGGGTGGAAAAGGTTTCCCACAGATTTATATTGTATGTGCATGCAAATGTATGCGTGTGTATGATTTCTATTTCTGTAGCGATCATCTTTGCCGAGTAACTCTATTTAAAAACAAATAACAGAGCAGTGTCATTAGGTGTATCTTCAGTGAGTCTCACATCCTGTGTTGGGCTCCAGCTCCGCTTCTTGTTCATTAGTAGTCATTAATTATCCACAAAAGGAGAAAACTTGGAACAGTGGGGCACCTTTCCCAGGAGTGGCTGACCTACCAAAAGTAGTTCAAGAACGCAGTGACTGATTCGCTGCCAGTTATCACAAATGTTTAATTGCAGTTCTTGCTGCCAAATGTGGCAGGAAGGGGGCAAATACGCTTTCTTCTAAGGTTTCAGCCTCGCCTCGGTCGGTACACCACTCTCACGAAGCCTGCTTACAGTGCACACCTTTTCATGTAATGCCTACTGTTTTTGTTAAATGCACCTTTATGGTCAAGCAAGCATGCATGCATTTATTTACCCAGGGCTGTGCGACCTATGTGAGCAATGAGGAGTCTTTTTTAGCAACGCCCTGCTGTCGTCACCTGGACTCTGCCCAGCACAATCACACCATGCTGTGCTGGCTTAACATGCAGTGATCTGTGCTGGCATGCTTAATGTGAAATAATGATTAGAGTCATCAGCTTCATCCTGCTGTGCATGTGCTGATTTGCCTGTCCCTGTAGATTTAGTGCATCACAAGGCTCTTCAAGTACAATGAAAAAGTGACGAGTGAAAAGCGGTTTGGATTTGTGTCGAACTACTCGTCAGACTTTAGTACAGCGAGGTCATTTCTTTTTGACAGTTTTTGTTCGTAGTGAAATATAATTGAGGCAAAAAGAGTTCCCATTTAAGTGTGAGAGGATTCTCTTTCGTTTCGTGGCTCATGTTGGGAGCCAGCATGCAGGAAAATAATGAACAGCGTAGACCAGGTACAGTATGTTTAATTTAATCCTTCCGTATGCACTGAAGCTCCAGTGGGTCATTAAGAAGTCTGAAATTAACATCAAGAAAAGTACATTCCCCAGAAATCTGTTGCGGTGTGTTTAAGACTGCGGGAATAAAATCAAATCTTTTTTAAACAATAAAGCAGCCTCTCACGTGTGTAAAGGTATTTCTTGTTGCTTAGTTTTCATCTTAAGATTGAAAACGAGCACTAAAGTTTGGTTTTCTCTATAGAAGCTGGTCAGAACAGCAAGTTGGTGGCGGCAGAGCCGATCTCACAGACCCAGATCCAGCATTTGTAAACACGTGCTGGTCGTAGCACTTAGCACAAACATTCGCTATGTCGATGTTTGTTTCTTGACGTGGAAGTGAAAACGAGAGACACGGCAGAGAGTTTCTCTCTCTCTCTCAGCATGTAATAAAAGCAAAGCACTGTGGATGAGCTAGAACGCAGCGAATCAGGGTCGACCTTGTTCATGTTCACTTGTGAATGAGTTAGCCTTTATCACAAGGAGACAGATAATGTCACGCAGTCGCATTCATGTAGCGTTTTTCCCATCCTACTGACCGGTCAAAGCTCTTTAGACTCTAAATCACATTTTAACCACGTGTTTATAAACTGCTTTATGCTCTGCAGTTCAAACATTCAAACATCTGCCTCATTGATGGCTGATTTAGAATCACCAGTAAACCTAACAAGCACGTCTTTGGACTGTGGGAGGAAGCCCGAGTACCCAAACCCACACAGGCACAGGGACAATGTGCAGACTCCACAGACGCGAGACGCGTGACGAGAACGCTACTGAACTTGTGCCTAAAAAAAAATAGTACCTCACTTATTTGGAGGTACTTTGGATTTGATAAAGACGACGTTCTCCAAACACAGGTGCTCTGCAAAACTTGCCAAACACTCGTGGCAACCACCAGAGGAAACACGACTAATCTCCACCATCATCTTCAAATACAGCCACAGAGAACTGTTTGAAGAGTTCCAGAAAGACAGGGCTAGCCAAACAAAGGTTGCTAATGTTAAGACAAAGACATGATGCCTATAAATACAGTTAGCTGAGAGGGCTTCACCAGTCTGATACATAAAGTGGACCAGAGATACCGCATCCCCTCACGAAACTACTTTTCCCATGTCGCCATTCCACAAATGTACGAAACATGCCGCAGGACCGTCACGTTTGAACTGAGCCAAGCTGAAAATTACGCAAGCACTACAGTAAAGTTTCCTCTCCAGTTCTGACTTACATCATAACTGCTTGGTGAGTGGTAAAATGATGAACAACTGCACTGAGATAATTTGCAGTTTAATCTAAGTTATGTTTATTTAAAACTAATTCTATAGACCGGGAAGGATGTCTTTCAGAATTTTTTTATGTGGGCAATGTTTCAATGTTAAAGTGCACTTTGTTGTTACACTGCTAATACAGCAGCTTTCATTAAATAAAACTGTGCAGTAAAACGGAAATTATGTATTTGTTTTTTGGGTTTTTTTTTGCTATTTATTTTATCGCAAGTCATATCGTTATCGCAGTATTGATCACACTTATCGCACATCGCAGGTTTTCCTAATATCGTGCAGCCCTAGTCAAGAGTAACAATAGGTGTAGAAGCCACACTTAGAATTGCACAGGGTAAGCTGGGAGCCGGCACATGTTCCTTACTTAATCCAGATAACTCACCCCAAAGTCCTCTTATAGAAAACAATGCGAGGTTTATTAATCCACTTTCTTCTTTACAAAACAAATCCAGTGCTCAGACTTACTCAGAAGTTTGCATAAAGTCCAAACTGATCAGGAAACCATAATGCTTCACTCTCCAGCTCACACACAAAGTCAGTTACCCAGAGAGTCACAAATCAAAGTGACCTCTTTGAATTCTTTCTTGCCTGTGACCAACGACACAGCGTTAACTGAGATGATTGTATCTACTTAGTTTTTCTGGAAACGCTCGAGTAAGAATTATCGTTGGTCTTATTAATTATTTAATTAGTGATTAGAGTTAATTGGATTTAAAAATATTTAGTGCGTAGTTTGATCGCACACCTGACGGGCTGGCTTTGTTAAGACTTGATGCTCAGATTGTGTTTATTAGTAACAAGCGAAGTGTGTTTGTTTGTCCAATAGGTGGCACTCTCCTCCCTCCCTGCTGTCTCCTGTCTGCCAGCCCCTCTTTCTTGAAATGAGGCGTGTTTGGCCAGAAACTTTCAGGTCGTTTTTTTAAAATATATATATATATATATACACACACTTCTTTCTCCCGTGTGTATTTTTATTACCAAGTTTTACATTGCTGTAGATCCTCTTGTCAGTGCACAGAGATGCCTGGCTCACCCAGAATTACTATTCCTGTCAAATCAGTACTGTAGCATTGCTTGACAGACAGCTTCTCTAAGTTTCAAGGCTTCTCCTCCTCTAAGCTGAAATAGCTTCATCAAACGGGCTGCTTCCCCCGGGGAGAAATCACACAAATCAAGATGGAACTTGGCTTTTTTTTTTTTTTTATCGTATCATTGTGTCACCAAGTGCAGCAGATATTCCTGTTTCTGTGTAAAAGTTGTTGTTTTTTTTCTTTCTAGCCTTTTCTTTTGCTCACTTCTCATTTTTCATGACTGTGTTGCAAAGCCCTCTGCTTTCCTCTTTGCTCTATCTTGGCTGAGAAGCTCTCTCTCTAACGCTCTTATTTTTTTCTTGGTTTTTGAGGCATCTTTTGCCTGCATAATCACCAATGGTTTGCTAGCATTTTCATAGCCTGTGCCTCACCACCTGCTGTGACAGCTCCAACTGCGTATGGAAAGGGGAAAGGAAAAAAACAGAAAAAGTTTAGCACTTTCCACTGAGGGAGACAGTTTGCGTTCTAGGAATATAAAGTTAAGTATGCGGCGGTAGCCACGTTAGCAGCTTCTGTGCCTCTCGAGGTGCTGCGGAGGAGGAGAAGCAGCAGCGAAAAGCAAATATCTTGATGGAGGGGCCTTGTTAAAGCATGCCGGCCTGCTGTTGGAGGGGCTGCAAAGGTGCTGGCGTGTCGATGCCGTACACTAGTGGCTTCGCTTCAGCTTTTTTTTGCCAGCCTTTTCTAAAGTTTGAGCTGCAAAGGGATCCCTGCTGGGATTTGCACACTGTCAGAGAAAAGGAAGGAGAAAAGAGATTAAACTCTTATGCACGCGCACGCACCCGGTGTACCCAGCGATTTCCCCTCACAGCGTGACAGATTCAAGAAGAGGCCCTTATTTACCCAGCATCTGAGTAAACACTGTGGTTTTGCCTTCAGGCTACAGTGGCGGGGGGGCTACTGTGGATGTCTTTTGAAAAACAAAAGTGTGATGAGGGCAGAAATAGATCCACGCTGCCGGCGGAGCAGACGATCCGGTGTGGGCCCAGACGTACCCTTAACCCAGCATCACAGATCTTAAAGTTTGTTAGCGAGTTTAGTTCAGAGTTCATCTTCCCCCTCCTGATGTCGGGGAGAGGGAATTACTTTTGATCCAAGTTAAAAAAGTCACGAGTGTTCTTCAGCATCGGCCCAGATTCTGACATTTTTATCCGAAAAGTTCTCAGTTGTAGGTTGAAATGTTGAAGAATTACACTGTGTATGAAT